TCATCCGGTTGCCCAGAGACCACAGGGAACCACCGGAAAATGTCTGCATTTGTGACTTTGGATTTGCAACAAGTAATATACCCAACAGCGAGTGTGTTGGATCGCCGCAGTACAGTGCCCCTGAAGTTGCAATGGTTGGCATCAGGCAATGTAAACTGGCTAAATGTGATTGCAGCTACGACGAGAAATGTGATGTTTGGTCACTCGGTGTCGTGGCTTATGCCATTCTCAGCGGGGCACTCCCGTTCGATGGCAGCACACCAACCGAGGTATTCACGAATGTTTTGCGTCACAACATACCTTTTCCACGCTCTGCCTGGCAGAATGTTAGCGAGGCCGCTAAGGACTTTGTTCTCTTCCTTATGACCCCGGAACCTTCCAATCGGCCATCCGCGCTGCAGTCATTGGAACACCCATGGCTGGTTTAAATGTATCATGTTTTGCGTTCTTATATACCCATATTGGTTCTTTCCGCAAAACCGGCGAAATGCAATTGAGGAATGCGGCTGTGTGTTTTTTACTCTCACGTGTGTCTGGGGGTCTCTCCATTTCACTCGGCCATTTGCTTTGAAGGCAATGCATAAATGCTCATGTACGTGCCTATCTTTTGATCCGGCGTTTATTATTATTATTATTATCATCATCATTTTTACAGTTTCATCTTGTTTTTGATGTATTTTCTGACTCTTTTCCCTTCCCCTCCCCCACCCCCTTTTTTTTTTTTTCTGCAAGATCGCTGTTGCTGGGAAACTCAAGGAAAGAAACGAAGGACTTCATGTTTTGTTGTATTTCAAACCGTGTGCCACATGAGCCAGTGGTGTCAAGGCTCTCTGGTTGCCTGTACGAACGCTCTTTGATCGAGCAATACATCGCCGAGCATGGCAGGTGCCCTGTCACTGGCGAGGCGCTGCAGAAGGATGACCTCATCGCTGTTCGCCCAACGGTGTTGAAGTCAGTAGCGGGAGGAGTGGGGGGAGCACTGTCGCCCAGCAGCGAGACTGTCCCAGGCATCCTGGCGAAGCTTCATTCCCAGTGGGACGCCATTATGCTCGAGCAGTTTTCACTGCGGCAACAGCTTGCCCAGACGCAACAGGAGTTGGCACAGGCGCTTCACCAGTACGAGTCAGCCTGTCGCGTGATTGCAACGTTCATCAAGGATCGCGACGCAGCAGGAACTCAGGCGGGTGAACAGGCAGCCGGAGAGAAGGCTCAGTCTTTGCGCGACAATAATAACAACAAAAGCGGCGGCAGTGGTGGTGGGCTGTCGGTACCAGAAGCGGTGCTAAGGGATCTCGACGAGTACGACAAACTTCAACGTGTAAAGCGGAAGACCAGAGTGGCCCCGCCATCGTTGGCATCTGAACAAAATGTGCGGGACTTTGTTGAAGAAGCCTCTATCGACGTGGCGAAGAGCGTGTGGGCCGCCGCTTTTTTTACAGACAACGCTGTTTTTGTTGGTTTAGATGACGCCACGGTTGCCCACTACGAAGTTAAAAATGGTCGAGTGTGTGCAACTGGTCTTGGGCATGAGAGGGCTGTGCGTCACATCATCCTTCACAACACTGGCAGTGCCCTCCGTGTTGTTTCAGCATCGGATGATGCCACACTGCGCATATGGAGCTGTGAGGCGGAGGCGTTGCTGTGCCAAGGCGTTGTTCGTCAACACGACGGGGGCATTGTCGGTCTTGGAGGGGTTGTGGCTGGCCACCTGCTCCTCTCTGCGAGCGCAGCTCGTATCGGGCTTGCGGACATTGATCACATGGAGTCTATCGCGTCCATCACGGCAGCAGCTGAGGAACTCTCGGCATTCACGTGTTTGGGTGTACATCCTTACGGTTCACTTGCAGCGCTTGGAGTAGATGGCGGAGGAATTTGCATTTGGAACACACGTCAGATGTGCGTGGACACCATTGTCCCATTTAATGTTGAGAACAACGTTTGCAGCGTGGCGTTTAGCGCAGATTGCTTCACCTTGGCGACGGGACTTGTCGGTGGCAAGACATTACTGTGGGACCTTCGAAAGATGTCTGGGCCAATCCACACCGTGTCTTCTCCGTCGGTGACGTCCGCAAGAGTGTCTCCCGTGGCGTGTAGTGAAGTTCCTGTCGTTGCCTTCGACAGCAGCGGTAAATATCTTGCAGTGGCGGGGAAAGAAGTTTGCCTGTTTGATTGGGGCAAGTCGACGCTGCAGAGTTTGGCGACTTTGAGCTCGCACCTGCAGCCCGTCACTGGGGTTTGCTGGGGCGTGGACGCACGGAGCCTCGTCAGTTGCTCAGTAGACAAAACGGTGAAGTTGTACGGCACTGCGTGAGAATCAGAGAGAGAGAGAGAGTGTGTGTGTGTGTATGCGTGCGTGTCAGTTAAAACCAACAGCAACAAGAACAACAAAAATAGCCCTCGTGGCTTTGTTAATGGAAGGCTCAAGGGTGAGGCTGAAGGAATACAAAATGAGATCAACGAAATCAAATAAAAAAAACAACAACTGAAAAAAAAAAAAAAAAAAAAACGGATCACAGATGCGTGGCTTATCGCACGTCTTTGCATTTATTGACAAACATTTTTTCCCTTCGTTATTTTCTTCTCTCTCCCTTTCATTTTGTTGCGGGGGGGTTACGCCCCCTAACTGCACACAGCGACGGGTGGGTGTTAGGATGGATGCGCAGTTATTCGCAACAGCCGACGTGGATCCCACTGTGCCGCGGCCGGAAGAAGAGGCAGAGCGGCAGCAGAGGCGTCACCAGGAAACAGAACAAAGCGAGAAGCAAGAGGATGAATCATCCCTTTTCTTTTTGGGCGAATCTGCCTTCAGCGTCTATGAGGAAATGGCGGCCCAGTTGCGTCAATTGGGTTGGAGAGAGGCGCGATCGAAGGGACTCATTGTGCAATGCGATCTTGTTTTGGGCGACCGTTTCACGATACCGTACTCGTTGCTGCGGTGTGAGCGGTTGCCGGCGACATCGCGGTACGGTGGCTATCGGTGGATCAATTATTTCCGCGGCTCGCACCGGCTAACTCTCAAGGCGTCAATGGCGCGGATACTTTCCGGTTCTGATGCCACCCACGATGAGTGGATGCCGAGCTCCTTTGTGCTGGGCGGTGACCAGAAGAGGCGACCGGATGATAGGGAGGCGTTTCTGCGTTGGGTGGAGCAGCACCCTGAAGGGACCTGGATCATCAAACCGAGCAGCGGCAGCAAAGGGAAGGATATTCTGCTGACACGCGGTCTCTCAGGGATTGAAAAATTCATTCAGGAGCTGGATCCGAGCAGCCGCAGCATCTTCGTGGCGCAGCGGTATGTAGACCGTCCGTTGTTGTACCGCGGAAGAAAGTTTGATGTTCGAGTGTGGGCTTTTTTAAAGACACCGTATGATATCTACGCCTTTTCGCAGGGGAGTTGTCGCACCTCGAGCGTGCTGTACGACGCGGACAACTTTGGTAACACGCTGGCGCATCTTACGAACCACTGTCTACAGGAGGGGTCGCCACAATTCGGGCAGTATGAGAGTGGCAATGAGCTCTGGTTCCCGCAGCTCTCAGCGTACCTGCGCGAGGTGTACAAGGAAGACGTTTTTGGAAAAAAAATTCTTCCTCAGATTGGCAATATCATTCTGCGCACTTTGTTGACGATGAAGGGAGAGTTGGAGGTACTGCCTGACATGCCGTACAAATGCTTTCAGCTCTTTGGGTACGACCTCATCATTGACGAGCAGCTGAACGTTTTCTTGTTGGAAATCAACGGATCCCCCGGCGTGGCAACGAAATATTTGCATCCGGTCGTGAAGGAAACCCTCGCAATTGTGGGCGGCGACGATGCTTTGCGTGTGTGGGATGTAGATACCGTGCGGTTTGTGAAGTTGTGGGGAGTCGGAGACGCGCTTCCCGATGGAGCCGCACGGATGTGATTGCGGGCACTCAAAGGGAAAAAGACGAAAGGAGAAGGTGGAGGACGTCGTGTGTGAAGTTGCCGTTGCGGTGGGGGTCCCATCGACGGGCCGCTTTGTGTGATCTCTCATTATTATTATCATTTTTTTTTTTGTGCTTCCGAACGCTTTATCTCATGCGCACTCTCTTATTTATTTGTTATTTCATTCTTTTTTCCTTTCTTCCTGTACTGCCGCTGAGCAGAGCGGGGACCAAAAGCCACGCGCAGGCACGATGCCACATGACACGAGCAAAAACGCGGCGGCGGGGCCCACTGAGAAGAGCGACGACGAGCCGAAGAAGGAGCCTATCATGTCCCGTGCAGCCCGTCGTCGGGCAAAGAAGCCGCAGGTGACTGTGACGTCAGAGATGCGGCAGGCGGCGCGGGAGCGGCTCCGCGAGCTGCGCAGGCACCTCCGCCTGCTGAAGTCCAACGGGGCGCGCAGGAAAGTTGCGAAGGCAGAGGCAAAAAAGAGGGAACGGGAGACAACCGAGGCGGAGGAGGTGTGCGCGCGTCTTGACGTGGGCGCCAGGCCGCTCAAGAAGAGTAGACGCGAGTAAACGACGAAGAAAAGTAACGTACTACCAATCAAAAAGGAACGGTGGCATCGTTATTTTGTTTTAATATATATTTCCGTTTGCCCGTCTGCATGTGCGTGTGTTTCTGTCCAGTGGACGTGAGGGATGTGCACGAAACCCACGTGGATATCATATTCCGGTGGGACCGCTATTTGTCTTGGCAACCACTTTCTCTCTTTTTCTTTTCTTTTCTTTCTATCCCCCAATACATTCCGTGCATACTTACAGGAGGTTACTGCAGTAAAGGGAAAGTAAGAGAATCTAAAGGAAATGAAAAAAGGGCACCGTGGTCCTTCAGCACCGACACCGGCGCCGTCATTCCAGCATGCCGTTGTTGTGCCGGAGGAGTTGCTGAGGGATAAGACCGCGCGGGAGCGGCGGGCAATCACCCGTGGGTATCTTGCCCAGTGGCGGCTTGAGGAGAGGGAGAAGCCCGTCATTGAGCAGTTAGTCCAGCAGAAGATGACCGAAAGCGCCGCACAGCCATCATGGAGGACGCGTGTCTCGCAGCTGCCGCCGGTGCGTTTGCCGAAAATGAGTGACGCAACGGCAGCCCCACTGCCGGTGCGAATGCCGAAAATTTTGGCCAATTCTTTGCCTTCTTTGCGTGCAGCATCGCCACCGACGACGTTGGAGTCGTGTCGCCGGGTCACACCATCGCCCCCTTCCCCGCAGCCCTTCTCCAACACAGCCACTTCTTCCGCAACGGTGCAAACGAAGACGACAGCAATGCCGGGACCCGCGTACACCCGCACGTATTTTCAGTTGGAGGACTTTGATAATACAGACTTTGAGACACGCACCCCACAGGAGTGGGTGCTGCTCGGCGAGAAGGATGGCGGTACACCGGCCCGCTCCCGCTACTTTGATAAGCGGAGCAATGAAGTGCAATGGCTGCCGTGTCGTGTTGTCGCCTACGACGACGAAAGGAGCTGTTATCAGGTCGTTTGGGAGTCGAATGGCTGTAGCAAGTGGACGAAACGACTCAACATAATATTCGATGCGGAGGACGAGGCACTGTGGCACGAGCGTGTGCGACAGGCGGAGGCATATCGGGCGGAGACTGAGGCAGCATTGCGGGGGCGGATGTACTTGCAATCTTTGGACGGAAGCCGCATCGCGCCGATGGACCAGGACCAGATGGACCGCATCATCGGGTTGGTGGCGAAGCGCTTTCCCCTGACCGCACTGCGCCTCGTGGAGCAGTGCACACGCGAGCTGGAGGAACTTTACTACTTCAGCCTGAAGCGTGCACAGCACTGGCGTGAGATGGCCAGCCCCGAGGAGCAGCGACGCGTGGAGCTACTGGGGTTGCCACCCCCACCGCCGTCATTACTACCGTCAACAACGCTGTCGGCAGGCTCGGGCGAGCTTCCGCCGAGTACGCTGCGTGGTACGATAGAAACACCATCGCCAAACTTCCGCGTGGCACGGAATTTTATTGCGGAGAATTTATTTCAAACGCACGCGTTACTGCACGATACGGTGTACGCCATCCACAATCAATGGAACGAATACAGAGGAGAGTTGTTGTGCATCACGCAATGGGAACCTCGTGAAACCCCAATTGGGCTAAGAAACTTCGAGGAGTTGCAGGCACATCGTGGCTTCAGTATTTCAGAGAAGCTGCACAACGAGTGGAGCGTAAATGTTCGTTGTACTATTCAAAACAACCTCGATATGCACTTTAAATTCTACGAGGATAACCTGGAGAGGTATACAGTGAGCCGCATGTCTCGATTTGTAAATTTTGTTAATGTCATGATGAATTCACAGCTACGTGGGCTGCTGCTCAATTCATTAGAGGAGTTTGCGGCCTTCATCCACCGCTACCGTGTAATGCCAAGCGTTGACGACACACCGATGGACGAGCTGCAGGAGGATCTAGAGGAGGCAGAGCACTGGAGGCGTCGCCAAGAAGAGTGGAACGAGAGGCAGCGCGCAGCCATGGCTGAGGCAGAGGCAGAGCAGGCCCGCAATGCTGGCGGCGGTGGACGCGGTCGGCAACGAAAGAGCGTTGCCCCACCCCCGGAGGAGGAAAAAGAAAAGGAAGTGCCATTTGTCTGGCGCCTCGGGACGTTTTCTAACCGCTTGCAGTACACAAAGCGTGTGGTGGAGATGACGATGAATCCCAAGGGACTGCGTCCGCTGTTTGTGTTGAATCTCGTGGAGGATTCCGGTCGTGTCGTCTTCTCACCGTCTCTGGAGGACGTCTCACGCAAAGTAAAGGCCGTGTTTGAGGGCTGCTTTGAGCTTGTGGACAAAATCCAAGGGATGGGCGATCAGCTTTTCCCACTGCTTGCATTGCAGCCACTGGCGTTGCAGCCACTAGACGAGTTTGACCCGGCTGTATGCGAGGCGCGGTCGATGGTGGAGAAGGCCCTTGCTGAAAACGTTGAGGCACCGCTGCAGCTTCAGCAAATGTACCAGACTTTTGAGTACGTTCTGCAGTTGGACACGCGGGAACTGGTGGAAGAGGTGAATGCACGACAGTTGTCGCTCCCCGAGTTTGACTGGACGTTTGAGCGCCTTTCTCGTGACCGGGAACGCATTGTGCGGAGGACGCCAAACCATGTAAAATACGAAATGTTTTTTATCGATTGCAAAGGAATAAAGGCGTCGCTGGTCGCCAAGGCAACCGACATCCAAAGTGCCCTGATGGAGGCTCTGGCTGAGCGAATGAGAAAGACGTGCTCGAACATGATCAGCGAATACAACAACATGAGTGAACGGATGGCGTTAGAGTCGCGCTCGCCCGAGGAACTGCAGGAGTTCCGCGACTTCCTCGACGGAATCCCTGCCCGACAGGAAGAACTCAACGCCACCTTTGAGACACTGACAGAAGGGTTTGATCTCCTTTTCAAGTACAACTACGAGTTTTCCGCCGACGCATGCAATGATTATCGCACAGCGTATGAATGGCCAAGGCACCTGCAGCAGGAGCTGGAGGACGGTAACTTCCGCAGCAAAGAGTACCGCAGCATCCTCATGCAGAAATTACGAGATAACTGTGAAACCCTCACGAGCGAAATTGTGCAATTGGGTAACGTTGTGGATGACTTTGCTCATTTTGGCGATGATGCCCGTGCTGATGCGTATCATGAGCAGGCCAAAGCACTCGAGCAACGCATCAGGGACCACCAGGAGCAGGTTCAGTTGTACAACAGCCACGAGACGCTCTTTGGACTTCAGCAATCCAAGTGGCCCCAGTTGAAGGAGATTAGGGCGCAGCTGGAGCCCTATTCCCTCCTCTGGGAGGTTGTAAGCCTCTTCCACAACGAGAGCGAGCGGTGGCTAAACACACGTCTGTCGGCATTGGAGCCGTTGGAAGTTGACAGACAGTTGATGGACTGGTTAAAGAAGATTGCAGCCGTCTCAAAGAAGGTCAAAGAGGCAGAACCGATGGGGGTTCTGAAACGTATTCGTGCGGAAATTGCCGCCTTCAAGCCATACGTCCCGCTTCTGTACGCACTACGCAGCAATCTGCAGGGAAGTCACTGGAAAGCCATTTATCAGGCCTGCGGTGTACCGAAGGAGAAACAAAGTCAAGGGACGGGTGGCGTCGATTCCAACGAGTGGCGGCCCTTTAATGAGTTTATCAAACTTGGAATGTTGGACTTCTTGCCACAGATTGAGAGCATTGCTACAGTGGCACAAAAATCGTTCGAATTGGAGAGTGAACTCATGGCGATGGAAGTGGAGTGGAAGAAGCTGCTCTTCGACATGGAACCCTATCAAGACACGCACAAGCTAAAGGCAAATGACATCATGCAGTTGACACTCGATGAGCACATTCTGAAGACGCAGTCGATGCTCGGGAAGCCGATTGTCCGTCAGGCACCAGCACTCCAGGCACGTGTGTCGCGGTGGGAGGCATTGCTGGACAAGATTCAGTGTACTGTGGATGAGTGGTTTAAGTGCCAAGGAACGTGGGCCTACCTGGAGCCGATTTTCTCCTCTGCCGACATTTCTCGCAGCCTTCCAAAAGAAAAACAGCTTTTCCTTGCAGTCGATGAATCATGGCACAAAATCATGGAATTGACTCGCATGACCCCACAAATCCTGACTCGGTGCCAAGATGAGACGTTGCTGCGGGTTCTCACCGAAAACAACAACAACCTTGACATTATTCTTAAGAAGTTGCAGCAGTTTCTTGAAACAAAAAGGATGGCGTTTCCCCGGTTTTATTTTATCTCCAACGAGGAATTGCTTCAGATTTTGTCCGACAGCAAGGACCCATACCTCGTGCAGCCGTACCTCAGCAAGTGCTTTGAGGGCATCAAGCGTATTCAGTTTGCTGACGCCCATGACATTCTTGCGATGGAGTCATCCGAAGGAGAGGTGGTGCAGCTTATCCGGAAGGTTAACCCCGGAGATTATCAGAATCTCGTTGAGCAGTGGCTGCAGGCTCTTGAAAAAGTTATGCGGGATACAATTCTCGACCAACTGCGTCAGGCGACGGGAGATTATGCTACCCGAAAAAAGCGAACAGAGTTTATTCGTGCGTGGCCTGGTCAAGTCGTCATTGCCGTCTGTTCACTTTACTGGACAATGGAGGCGACAGAGGCGATGAGTAGCGAAGGCACTGTGGGTCTCACCACGTATCACGAGAAGTGCGTTGGACAGCTGGATGATCTCATTGTGTTGGTGAGAGATCGTAACCTTGCAGCGGTGGAGCGGTGCACACTCGAGGCACTTGTGGTTGTGGAGGTGCATGGTAAAGATATCATTGGCCAGCTTTCGGAAAAGGGCGTGGATACCCCAAAGAGTTTTGACTGGCTGGCCCAGCTGCGGTATTACTGGGAGGAGGACCACTTGTATGTGCACCAGATCAATGCATCGCTTCGATACGGCTATGAATATTTGGGTAACACTGGCCGTCTTGTCATCACACCCCTCACCGATCGTTGTTACCGTACCCTTATTGGTGCGCTTCACCTAAACTATGGTGGTGCGCCAGA